TTAAAAAACTAGTTTTAATAAGAGAATTTATCTCCTTATCTTAGATTCACAGTCCAGTTTGACACCACAGTTTTCTGCTGGGTCTGAACACCTCAGGTTACTCTCAGTGAAATAATAAAAAACAAACAGCAGCAGGCAGCAGTGTTACTCAATGCACCAAAGGTAAAAATGTGAAAAATCCAAGGTGATTGTCAGAAGACTTGACCTCTGACCTTGACTTTGTTGTCGAGGTCACTCAGAATTACTCAGCGGGGTGACAAAAATACCCCACGAGCTTTTGACGAATGTTTACTTTGATGTTCTTTAGAAACTCCACCTGTGGTTTAGGGGAGTTGATATTTTCATTGGTAGGTAAATGTAAGTGTTGTTAAAGAAATGGTAGACACGGCCATGCTATTTAGAAATCAGGCCAAGATGGAGCAGATAAAATCAACATAAGTTAGGAGAGGCGGGCTGAGCGGACACTAACCTCGTTCAGGATTTTGAAGGACTCCTTCATGGCATTCTTGAGCTTTGCTTCACCTTTGACATGCAGCTCCTCCACCAACACCTTAAAGTGCTGAGACAGGAAACGAATGCAAAGAGGCTTTGTATAAAGACAGACATTCATCTTTATTGCCCAGATTCTCTCTAGCTCCAGCTTGACCTGCTGTGGTTTCTGATGCCACTTTAAGAAGTAGGCTAAGAGGCTGATCTGATAATGACACTCGGGTTTTTCCTCTGTGTTTGCGTCTGTGTGACGACTGCTAAGATGCCTCCTGAGCTCTTTAGGCTTCCACGAAGCAGATAATGGTCTCACCTCTCTGTTGTCCAAGTCGGCCTGGACCAGAGTTCCTCTGAAACACGGCTCCACGTAGCGAACGTAGTCTGTGTACTGCAGACAGGGAAGGAAACACAGACGAGGCAGGCTCATGAGCGAAAAAAGGCAGTCAGTGGTTCCATTAACTAATCCAGTAATTGAACCTTTATTGTTTTAGTGATAAAGCTGTGAATTCACAATGATGTTGATGTTACCCAGACTTAAAAAGTACTCACACCAGCACAACACATGCTTTTCATAATGAAACTGAGAAGTTTCATTAACATGTTGGTTCCAACACGTTAATTTGATGATCTTATAGTTATTTGGTTATAACTTGTGACATTTCTATGTTAGGAGTTCTTCCTTGTTCTTGTTTAGTTCCTTTCCATTTCATTTGGATTGTGTTTGTCTCTCGTACTTTGTATTTAGTTTTCTGAGTAATAATAATAATGGATTGCATTTATATAGCGCTTTTCAAGGCACCCAAAGCACTTTACAATGCCACTATTCATTCACACACTGGTGGAGGCAGCTACAGTTGTAGCCACAGCTGCCCTGGGG